TGGGAGTAAAAGCACACCACAGCGCATCGACTGACCCCGCAGTCCATGTACAAGCCACTACGATCCTGAATGGAACTAGAATGCGTGTCGCCTCCCAGAAAAGGGGTTAATCGATAGCGAAAAGTTTATCCTTCATCCTTGACCTGTATCAATGCATCAGTGGTGACGTCGACAGCTGCTGTTGCTTCATCGAGGACGAGAATGCGCGTGTTACGTAGTACTGCACGAGCAAGGCAAACCAGCTGACGTTGACCAACACTAGAAAACTTTTATGATGCTTCTATAGAGAAGTGCCACAGCTCATGATCTGAAAGGTTGTAAAGAGAGTGGCTTTTACCTCAGATTTTCACCACCTTCGTTGATCAAATAGTCAAGACCTCCTTGCAGAGAAGAGAAGAAGGACTTCAAATGAGCGAGCTCTAACGCTTCCCATATTTGAGAGTCTGTGCTCTTTCCACATGGGTCCAAATTGAATCGAAGCGTACCCGAGAACAGTACAGGTTCCTGAATACAGCGTTCAGCGACTATAACAGATATTCATTGTCAATGTCCTTTTTATAATCATTCAGAAACCAGAATTATTCAGAATCTTGCGAATTATGAAATCTGTCGAATCTTCGCGTTTTGAGCTTTCAAGGGCCAAGAGGGTCCGAACCCTGCACTGCAAACAGCATCAGTAGATAAAGGCAGTGGGAAGGTCTTACGAACTCATGAAACGCCGCTGGTACAATGCACACCAAGGGGGGGGGGAGGGGAGAGGGTGTCAACAGACATAGTCGAGGGCGTATCTATGGAGTGTTGTCGATTAGGGCAACTGACATCGTTGGAATCTGACTTGAGTCGCCTGAGCTTCCTTATACAGAAGATACAACTGGATACCTAGAATTGAAAATCCGTTGCAAATTTGCTGGGGCGGTGTCAAGGAGGTGGATGAAGCCCCTTGGTGCTTTTTCTGCCAATCTTAGCTGGCTTAGCCAAAAAACCAGCGGTATAATGTTCGCTGGGCTCTTTTTAGGCCTCTTGACAGCGCCCCGCCGGACTGCGACGATACCAACTGTGGGTGTCCGCCGTGCAGCGTTGCGTCGTGGAACAGAGACGGAGCTTGTGGACTCACCTTCTCCCCCTTGTAGTAATAATAAGAGCATCGCGATGTGTTACATGGTAGTGGTAGGTACGACCCCCCCCCCCCCTCCTCCACCGCCAACGAGAGAGGGTGCCAGCATGACCCCCCCTACCTTCCCCACACTTTTCCAGTTTTTCACCAAAAATTTCCCGTTGAGCGCGGGGGGTATGTTGTAAACACGAAACAGGCAGAATCACACGAAAAGTCAGCAACCGGGGAAAATCTTTTCCCAATGCAGCAAATTTTTCTCAAACGCTTGTACGACCCCCATCTCTCCCCACAACGACCAAATACGACCCCCTCTCCCCAGCGGAAAAGCACGACCCTCTTAGGTGTTCCAAACAATGATGTTGTACCCTGCTTTTGTTGGGCTTCAATAGTTCCTGTTTACAAGACTCTGAATCCTGTGAATTCTTGTGGAGGTGGAGTAAGCTTGTCAAGCCATCCTGGTAAAACCTGTTAACTCGGGAAGGGGCTGGCTAAGTGGGTCGATGGGGAATATTATAAGTGCAAAATGCCCCCCCCCCCGCTCCCGTTGCCAAACTGCGCGGCGCGGTCTTTTCTTGGCGGACGTCTCTTCCCCTCATTCTGACTGCTTCAACCCTAGAACAATCTTCCATCAGAAAATAATCTAGGCAGTAGCCACCCAAGATTTATAGTAGATTTTGTTATGGTCTGCTTTATTTCTCTGTCTGTAATTAGCACGAGGTTCTCGCCTAAATAAAAGTTGAACCAAACCTGAGGGATTATGGTAATGTTGCTGCGCAGATCGTGAAGTCCGATTTTGGATATGTCAACATCATCAATTATAATTTTTCCAGAAACGGCTTCGATTATGCGGAAAAGAGCAAGGGTGAAAGAGCTCTTCCCTGGAAACAAAAGGTTCAGATGTAGCGGTGGCATTTCATTTGATCATAAAGAACGACACTTACCAGCTCCCGTACGACCTACGATTCCTATTTTCTCTCCTTCGCCTATATCAGCTACAAACTGCTTCAGCACGAGATCGAAGACCCTCACGATACCTGTCAAGGAACTCGGTAATAATTAGGCCGAAACCGATGTAAAATTCTGGAAATTGTGAAACTGAACAAGTAAGCACTTAGTCGAGTAGTCATCGAAGTGAACAACACCATGACTTGGCCAGTCTTTGTCTGGTTTATTCTCCGGAATTTCCCATGGCGCCTGGAAACGGTACAGTTTAGAATGAAATCCTGGGCTCAGGTGTAGCACAACTTTGCCAGTTGTTACAATTGTCTTCGCTGGAAGCCGCGGCGTCTCGAAAAAAAAGAGGGGGGGTGGGCTGAGCGCGGCGCCAACCCGTTCTCCACCAATTGTTGAAGCGAGCAAGCGAGAACGATTGGTTGAAAAGCGGCTGGCGCAGTGCCAAACGCCTCTCCCCACGCGAGAATTTTTACACAACATGTTAATAGCAAAAAAAAACTGTTTTATATCGTCATCAATGACAGCACTGACATGTTATGTGACGTTAGTGACACGTCATCTCCCTCTCAAAGGGTAACGTACTGAACTGCGTACCTGTGCTAATGCTCCCCCGTAATGCTAAAAGTCTGAAGAAGAGCGATTAGAGCACACCTACGCGCCTCTTCCCCCATCCCTCCCTCTCGGCTACTTTGGTTGTCAGCGCACCGAGTCTGAGCCTTGATCAGGGAAGGGGATACAGAAGCGCGGTGGCCTGGCTCAGTTACCTTATCGTTAGCACCAACAGAAGAATCGCTGTATCGGGGATGGCTATTTTCTAGACTGGAGCCTACGTCATGTCTGCTCGTCTGCACCCTCTCACCTTGGCAGCATAACGTGGCTTTGCCCTGTTCGAACACGCCTTCCTCTCCCTGGACCCTCTCACCTAGAGCATGACGTCACTTGCGTAAGTCTCGTTAAGAGTGGGCCTAACTGATGCGTAAGGCGTGAAGTAATCCCGCTTTCCCTTCCCTTTTCGGAGAAAGGAAATAAAAAATGGCTGCAAAATCACCTCCGTAGGGGTTTTTGTGTACTCATCGATCCTTTCAACAGCAACAATGTTGGCTTCGCTCTCACTTATTTGACGTATACCGAAATTGAGCATTTCAGTAATCTGGAAATGTTTAGGCGTTGCCAGAAAGTTTTCAATTTACAGAGATGAAAAATATCAATAACTTACATTCAAAGCATAGGATACAGATACACCGATTATACCAGGACTAGTCACCCAACCGAATTCTTTCGAGATGACCGCAAATAGCGCAGCAAAGAAGATCTGGAAGCTGAGGAAATTTTGGGAGCTTGTAAACAATCTTGTGTGGCAGCAGGCACAATTGCTGGAGGCGGGCGCTTGCTGCAACGTCATTGGTGGGAGCGTTGTGAGAGGGCGTTCAGGCACACCCCACTCATCCCTTCCACCAATAACGGAACAAACGCCCGCCCACAGCAATCGTGCCCACTGCCTCCAAAAAACTATTCACCTACCACTAGATTACCGATAAATTCCAAACGTATTGCCAGCCAACGATCTGCCATGACGCTGCAGTGCTTGCATTTGATGAAGGCATCGACAGTAGCACCAAATGTGGATCGGAACTGTTTCACCTATGTCAAGAAATTGGTCATGACATATAGCGAAAGTTGTGAAAGCTGTCAGCCAAACTCTCTTGGAGTGCGCCGTGCATTCGACTTCCATCCAAAATCTTCGCGGCGTGACCTAATAGCCGAAGTGCACAGGTCATGATTCGAGTGGTTCCGCCTTCAGAGGGTCGATAAAGGGGTGGAAGGCTCTACTGGTTAGGAGTCCCCACAATGCTTAGTAGCGATCTATTTACTTGATTGCGACACTATCTTTTGTGGGCGTAAGTCACTAGTTCGGAGTAGCGGCGGGTGCAGGATCACGTGCGCGGCATTCTCCCCACGGTTCACTCGATTCAACGGCAGTGCTGAAAATAGCCTAAGTCCTGTTGCAACAGTGCGGCGCCGTAGACGCCGTGTTCCACCAGTTTGAATGCCCTGGTTGTGTTGAAGCGAGCAAGCGACGCGACTGTATCCTTCTTATAAGTTTTTTCCTTCAACTGTTGTCGCTTACCCGGTTCAACAACTGGTTGGGTTTGGCGCTGCGCCAAAAATGTTGTGCCTGACATGCCTATTCATCCGCGGCGAGCAACACTGTACCAGGGCACATCATTGGTTAAGGATTTTGATCGAGTCCACACGCCACCTCCCCACCCCCCGCCTTTTGAGGGGGGAGGATGGTGCGACCCCGCTCCCTAGGTCCGCTCCTCTGATTTCGAGGCTGAGGGGAAAGGTGGGGTTGAGCTTAACAGCACGAAGGAAAAAGGAAAAAAAATACGGAAAAGCCTAAAAATAAATACGACTCCTCCTAAACAATGAGCAAATACGGCTAACCCCTCCCTTTTACAACGTCTCCTGAAACAACGAAAAACTATCAAAAAATTTTGATCGAACTCAGATACGTCTCCTCTCCCCTCTCCCAAGCGACCGAGTACGATCCTCACGACCTTTCCCGCCTCTTGGGGATCCCTAACATACGATGTTCCATGGACTATACATACTAATTGCGACGATGAGCGCTCAAGACAAATTTGACCCTCAATCTTTGATAATTATCTCGATTGTTTTCTTAACCTGAAGGGAGAATTAGTCAGCTGTGGAGCCAGGAGACCGAGTTAGTTATTATTGGTTGACGTCGCTGGACCATCGCATGCTGACAATCTTATCATATAGGGGTCCGATGAGAGTCAGGCCCGCCGCGTCCTTAGCCCCTCGTCTCTCCAGTGAATACTACGGCTTTGTTGCTCCTCATTCCCCAAATGGAGCAGACACGTGTGATTTAGAAGATATTATTGAAAACCACCTTATTGAATGCCCGCACAGACGATGCTCCCTGAATTGTTTCCTCGAAGTTTGAAAAAACTGGTGATCTATGGATGCTCTCAAGGCGTTTCAGTTGACGTGCTGTCGAAATGTATAATCGCTGGAATAGTCTAACTCTAGAAATCAATCACGATTCTACAGAAGTAAACCTTCACTCACCAAAATGATGAAATATATGAGCATGAGTGGTACCACGACCACAGCAAAAATAGGGGTCGAGATAATGATGACCAGTAGAATGAAAAATACCTGAAAAGGATATTTCTGAAATTCATGAGATTTGCGAAGAACTTCAAAACATTTGTCCTGCTATTATACTCGCAATGCCTGAGATCGGGTAGGCGTGGCGCATGTTTCAACTTAACCTGAAGGTGTCTATGCTTCTGGTGAGATATTTTCATCTTGACACAATTGTTGTCGTGTCTCTGTCGCAACACCGAGAGACGAACGGTTGTCGGCGCGAGACTAAGTATATTCCCACGAAAGTAACTCAACGTCCGTGCCATGTTCAAATGCCACGCCCACTCTAGCTCAGGGATAAGGAGTGTACCATATGGGCCTTCGGTTTCTCATACTAGCGGTGAATTCGACATTACTCACCTAACAGAGACGTTTGGAAAAATTACCTGCAGTATCGATGTTGAAAAATAACGGAAATTCACCGGAAGAAGCATGTCGACCACATCGATGTCCTGGAAAAAGTAAGGGGCCTGCTAAGCAAAGCATGAGCCATTCATTAAACACTCTTAGGACGCGCCATACGTTCTGCTTTGTAAATAGGATACAGCTCGTTGTGTGAAACACTATGGGAGGGGGTCGCACTCCGGCCCGCTGCTGGAGGGGTCGTATGTGCCTTTGGAAGAAAAAGTGCCACAATGGGAGAAAATCTGAGGTTTTTCTCTTTTCACATTGGCTATACCCCCCTCCTCCCCCGCAACTCGCCAGAAAATTCGGGTGAGAAATTGGAAAATGTGGGAAATATCGGAAAACTGGTGGAGCCTGGGAACTAGTAGGGGAGATATGCAGATGTTTTTGGAAGGAGAGGGGGGGGGGGGGTCGTACTGAGAACCTCCTTAAGGGGGGGAGGGTTGTAAGGACACACTATTCACGCATCACGATGTTTCCCAGTTTGTGGAAGAAACAGAATTTCAGTCCTCCTGGTCAAGCGTGATGGCCACTAGCACAGCCAGAGGAAGTAGAAGGATTGGGTTTGTCTGGGACAGGATTTGATTCGCGTTCACCCGACGCTCAGGATTGCGCCGACGCCTGAGAGTGCTACAGGCATTGTTAGTTGCGGATGATGGCGCTCTCCAGTGTGGACGGTTATAGCGCGCGGCGTTTTAGCGGCGTCAACCTGTTTCTTTTCTTTTTTTTTATCGATCGGCACGACGAGATTATCACATCGTTTCAGCCCTTTTTCACCAATCGCTGCCGCCTAAATGCTTTAACTACTGTTGAGGAACGGGCTGGCACGCGTCAAACTCATCTCCACTGACACGCCCCATCATCCGCAGCAAACAACAGTGCTCGTTGAAATCTCTCATGTGAAGCGAGGGCGGTGTAGTGGTGCATTTGCCACTACACCGCCCTCGCTTCACATGAGAGATCTCAACGAGGTTTTCTCCATGCTATTATTTGATGGCTGAAATCGCTTACCTTTGTACATCGGTTGAGAATCCTCCCTAGTGGTGTTGTGTCGAAGAAGGACATGGGAGAACGGAGCAAGTTGTGAAGCAATGGAGCATGAAGATTGTAGGAGGCGGCTAGTCCAGCAAAGGCAAGACTCACTAATGATAGAAGAAAACACACGGCTGAAATTAATTTTACGATTAACCGCTTTACCGTTTACAGAAAAAAACAATTTCATCTTCAAAAACGCCTCAGCGGCAATGGCCTCGCTTCTTACAGGCACGTGGTGTGCCGGCTAGAACACGAGCAACAGTTCCAAGGACCCCTCTTTTGTTGTAATGTGTAAATAACTTTTTCTACCCAGGGAGAGGGGGTGGAAGGGGTTAGGCCAACGTGGAAATGAAAGGAGAAACCAGAGAGGGAGGATGCGGCTCTTTCAGTGGAGACGCATGCAACCTTCCACCGAGGGCCTGGGAGAAACGGCGGTGTCAGACGACCCCGCATCCTCAAAGTTCTTCCTCCGGTACAAGCCTTCCACTCACTCTTTCTATTTTTCTCATCTCCCTACCCTTCCCCCATTCCCAAAATATTTTCAAGCTTTCTGCCAAGAGACTGCCACCAACAAGCGGGGAGGGGTGGAGCGGGTGGAAAGGAGACTAGTTGTATAGTAGTTTTGCGACAGTGGCAAATTGGGGGAGGGTATTTGGGGGGGGGCTATACTTTACCCTGGCTGGGAAAGCCGCCCGACTTCCTGGAAAATATATTCGCTGTATCCAGAGGTCCTGCTCTTTGAGCTCTACCATATTCTGCAGCGCGACTTACATTCTATTGATCCCAGTGCTCCATAGACTGCTAAACGCCAACCAACTGGCATTTTTTGATCGTGGTGACCGTCATTTTCATCTGACCTGTAGAACATATGGAGCTAGAAAAAATGAAGTGTGGTAGAAAAAAAAGCCAAAAAACGAACCAAGCCGACAACCAAAAGCTACGTAGAGTCTGGAATAATTGGTACATTGCCAGAAGAAAGAAGAATAGAAAGTTTTTCCAATAAGTGCCAGCTTTCATGTAAAGCAGATATATGGAGAGTTTCACCTACAAAGTATTTTGTGTGACTTTTGAATGACCATTGTACAGTACTTGTGTAGAAAGTCACATCGTATGAGAATCATTTCGAAAAAAGGTTATCATAAAAAGTGAAAAAATTCACGGGTTTAGAAGTGGGTGGGGTCGCAGAGATAGGGGCTCTATCCGTGCGGGCTAACAAGAGCATGCGACGCTAAGCGTGTGGATTGTGTCGCGGCAAAAGGGGGCGGAGTCATCTGGGGGCGGGGCATGTAATGGGGTCCGCGGTGTGCGATATATGTGCGGTGACTGCTGAGGTAAGTGCTGCTCCGTGGAAGATTTGGAAATATGGAATAAATACTTGCCATTAATGGCATCATAACAAAAAGTACTGCAAGAGGTTCACAAGCGAGAGCGCATCACGAATTACGTGTGAGACAAACAGGATGCGTTCCTTGAGGTTCCGAAATACATGAACACGTAACGCATACGCTGCGCCATCGTTTCCGCAAGAGGGATCTCCTGACCCCCCCCCCCGCCTCCCCCCATCACGAGAATAATATAGTAAATCAACATCTCGGCACTGATTTGCCATGTGCCATGGTGCCGAGGAATCAGACATATCTTCAAGACAATCAGACATCAAAGAATGATGGACGGGTTCGTATTTAGTGGATGGAGGGATGGAATCGTATTTGACGTGCTAAAAACCTTCTAGAGGTAAATTTTTCCGTTTCAGGCGCACTATATATAAAACTAGTAGGAGGCGCAGCAATTCGAATTCATCACTTTCATCGGATATGTTTATCCCCTCTCTCACTAGACATGTATGTAAGGGTAAAAAGCTCAAGAATATGTCGAAGGTTCCCTGGCGCCACCCTTGGTCTTACTTTATTCCTGCACCATTCTGAGTGGAGGCGAGCTCAAGGTAAGGGCCTCAACGGCCCAAAGAGAGGATTCAGACGAGGACAGGAGTGAAAGAAGCTTCGCGTACTACCAGTTTTTACCATCAGCTAAACAAACCTTGGCTGGACTGTCCACAGTTATAAAACAGCTCTTTTAAGTCCCTACATATTTTCGCCTGTTTCAAAGAAGTACTGCTCATTCCGCTTACTCCCACTTCTCTTCAGGTGCCACAAAATCTGTTCCACCATAAATCCATTGCCCACACTTCCCCTGATTACATTAATGTTCGTCTAGATTTGCTAGTCCCTACACCATTGAGATCGTTTTATTCCACACTAATATGGATTAACAAATCTGCATGGAGTAAGCACCTTGGATTAGACTAGTCCGAAACAGAGGTCACCACCCACTGGGTTTCACACAACAATAGGAAGGGTTGTATTTAGCCACTGCACAGAGAGGGATCGTATTTTGCCGCGTGAAAGAGGCTTCCAATTTTTGATTCTGCTGTTTCAGGTGCGCTTTGTACAGTTGACATCGCAGCGATTCGGCGTGGCGATGTCAGGAGGCGTGGAGTGAGTCACCCGCTGCTGGAGCAGGGATTCCCCAATAGCGGGTCCTATTTAGTCGCTGGGAAAGGGGGCGGTCGTATTTGGACTGAGAAAAATTTATTTTGATAGTTGATTTTTTGTTTCGCGGACGTTGTAAAGGGGAGCGGTGGGGTCGGATTCTGCTCCTGACCTAGAAGGTTGCTGACTTTCTGACTTTTCGTGATTTTCCCCTGTTTCTTATGTACTATATATCCAACCACCCCCC